GCGCGCTGCTCGCCGGCCGTATCAGTGGTGCTTCACCGAGGACAAAACAGGTGATGCGCCCCGATCCACAGCAGGGAAACGCATCAGGCACAAATAAAAGAATAAGAGACAGAAAACATAAAAGGAAATGTGCCGACATGAACGATTGAGTGTTAAATTAGTTTTTGAGGTGGCGACACCTGATTTGTATATGTTACTGTGGCCGTGCTCAGGACGCAGATGTCTGGAGCGCGTCAACAATCAGAGCTTTGCATGCGCAAGCTGGTTAAGATTAGGATGGGGGTGAGGGTAAGATTAAATTGCAAGAGGGAAAAGGTCACAATTTGGTTAAATGTCCGTTTTACGGCGGCTGTCAGTACCGACGCTCTGGCACAGCGCGTTGCCCCCCCGACGCGCAGGAGCTTGTCACCTGCTGACAGCAGGCTGCTGTCTTTTCCGAGGACTGCATCTTGCCGGTCATTATCACGTGAGCTTCCAGTCAGGTTTTCGTAGAGCTCATTCTACTGAAACAGCTCTTCTTAGGGTCTCTAATGACCTTCTGACTCACAGTGATGCAGGGGACTGTTCTGTTCTGGTCCTGCTGAACCTGACTGCAGCATTTGACACTGTTGACCATCACCTGCTACTGGAGAGGCTCAGAGACTGGGTAGGCCTATCAGGATCTGCTCTGGAGTGGTTCTCCTCTTATCTATCTGAGCGCTTCTTTTCTGTGGCCGCCTCCAAGTTTAGGTCCTCCACCACCTCTCTTACCCATGGTGTCCCACAAGGTTCTGTGCTGGGGCCTCTACTCTTCCTCCTCTATCTGCTTCCTCTTCAGCACATCCTGAGCTCCTTCAAAGGAATCTCCTACCATCTTTATGCAGATGACATCCAACTGTACATCTCCTTTAAGCCCCATGAGATGTCTAAGCTGCAGCTGTTACACACCTGCTTAGACTCTATTAAAACCTGGATGGCTGGGAACTTTCTACAGCTGAATGAAGACTGAGATCCTCATCTGTGCCCCAGACAAGCTGGTTCGTAAAGTCAGAGACTGTCTTGGTCAGCTTGCTCCTCTATTTTTAATCCAAAGATTAATTTTTTATTTAAGATAATTAAATTTAATGGAAAAAGTTTATTTATTGAATCAGAAGTTAGGAATCTTTGCTTATTCAATAACCAAATATATACACACAATTCTTTGTTTCATTTCAAAGAGTCAGAGTTTTAAAAAAGTTACGAATTTATTACTAACACTTTTAAAAATGACAATTTTTAACAGCTGTGATATTAAAACCAATTGTAACAGCTTTGATATTAAAACTTGTTTTTAAAAGCAAACCTGTGACTGAATGGAAACTAAAATGAAATGCGAGTTTTGGATGCGTGAATGAATCTTAGAAGGTTTCTTTCAGCGAGAGAAGCGTTCTGGGTGGAAAGTTGTTTTGAAGCCAACTGATGTTACTTAGAGAAAACAGCATCAAACACCATCTGTGTGCTACCTCACCCAGCAAGACGACTCTCTGTGTGGATCCGGAGGTCAAGGAGGATGTTGTCAGCCTCAGGGGTACTCGGTCCGGTAGAGAAGACCCTAGTGGAACCGATCCTCTTGTCCAGAGATGTTGCAGGGTACACGGTGTCGAGCGTCTGGCTTAACTCTGAAGGAGTTTTGCGTCAGCTAGTTACAGTTGCATTTGTTCGAAGCAAGACTATCGGCGTGACAGAATGCTTGGTAGAGACTTGGGCGTCCGTCCCTCGTCTCCTGGTATGGTTCAAGAACTGAATGTACAGCTGCGGAATTTGGTTTTAACAAAACCCTCAGAACACGCCCTCTCAGCATCAAAGCTTGATGTTATGAGTAAAGACATGTGAGGTGTTTTAACTTTACCCTGGATACCCTCTGCGTGAGGTGGTTAAATGTGTAAGATGACCTTCTGGTTTACTGACCACACATTACGGATTATCATAAATAATTATATTATTACTCAAAGCATAATAAGTCATTTCAGTAATTAAAATACATTTATACTGAACCAAGAGATTATTTATGATGGTTGTAGTGAACAGTAATTAAGTCAAAGAGTTTATTAAAATTATTATTTAAAATTATTATTGAAAAATCTTGAAGTGTCCTTCATCTTGGGACAGCAGCAGATAAAGATGGTGTTTCAGCAGACATCACGGCTCCTGGCGGGTTAATCTGTGGGGCAAAAAATAGCCACTAGAAAAGAGGTTTTGCAATTCAAAGTAGTTTGGGGGATTTGACACTACTTAAATACAAATTGAACAAGGAAACCAATGGATTAACCTGTCATTAAAACGTTGGTTGCAATTTATAAAATAACAAGAATAATTGGAATGAAGAGGCCAGGATCTTAAGATGGTGTGCGTATGATCTTGATTTTTTGCCGAACAAGTTAGATACAAGATTTAAAAATTGGGCAGGACAAGGCTTAACAGTATACTATAATTTTTACGATAAGGGAAATCTTAAAAACTTCCATAAAAAAACATTATCAGCTGGGTAGTATGAATTTTTTCTGGTTCCTCTAAATCAGACATCATTTACAGAATTCTATAACCAAGAGAAAAGATATTTTTGATCTTACTGTTCTAAAAATATTTGTGAAGGCATACCAAGCGGATCCTGGTCTCTAAGTAATTTCAAGACTGTATAGGGGTCTACAGGAGATTAAGAATTTGAATACAATCTACATCAAACAAAAAAGGGAAAGGGAAACAAATATGGCAATTTCGAACGATACTTGGTATCAACAATGTGCTTTTCAATGGAGCATCTCTAGCTCAACCACATGGAGGTGTTTTGGCCGGAAGAGCCGTTGCAGATTTCTTATTACTCCTGCGCAAAGTAAACATTACTCCAACTCTTTGCTGGAGATACTGTGGGGCCCAAGGAGTTATGCACTTCCACCTGTTTTGGTCATGTCCTTTGATAAACACTTCCTGGGCTTCAATTATTTCTGAGTTAGAGATTATTTTTCAGCATGCACCTTCCCTTCATATGGGATGAACTTTTGTTTGGATGTTTGTACTCGGTAAACGAGGACAAATAGACCAAGCGCTTGAATGGCATTCTGAGTTTAACTGCCCGAAAGACTATCACTAAAAAAATGTGAAACCTCCATCTTTGGATGACTGGCATGAGGTTATCTATAGCAGTGGTTCCTAACCTGGGGGTCCTGACCCCCACAAGGGGGCGCCAAAGCCTCTCAGTGGGTCGCCAGGACCTCTCCACTTTAAGGGGTTAAAACTTCATTTATTACTTGTTTATAGCCTACATTTTTCTCACATTTTTTTCATGAGTGAAAAGTTTACTGATATTAAGACAGGAAATAATTAGTACAGAAAAAGTAACACACTTTTAAGAACATTTTGCTCAGCTCACTGTTTTATTTTCAAGTGTCAAAAGTTCATTAAAGACAGGACTGGTTGATTAATTTTTATGCTAGTTTATTATATTTTATTCTACTTTATTCTATTTTTAATTATATTATTCATGTTATATATAGCACGTTAGTACCGAAGCAAGTTCCTAGTTTGTGAATTGTTTGTTCACTGAAAATGGCAACAAACCTAATCTGATTCTGATTCTGATTAATCACAGCCTTTACAGTAAATAATCTAGTATAAACAGTAATATACACATTTAAGTACATTTTGCTCAGTGTATTTTTTATGTGTCAAACGTTTATTGAAAGGAATGATTGATTTATCAGTGTTTACAAGAAACAATGTGTTCAGAGAAGTAATACAAACTGTCAAGCACATTATGCTCTGTTTGGTTTTGTTAATGACTTTGTTCTGTACTGGAGCCTACTATTACTGTTATCTATTGAATCAAAGCATATTAAAATGTGCTTGAACAATTTTATCATTTCTTAATACTGTTTGTACTGGAAGAGAGAATGGGAGGGGGTCGTCAGAAATTTTACTGGTAAAAAAGGGGTCCCTTGGGAAAAAGGTTGGGAACCACTGGTCTATAGGTTGTTTAAAATGGGAAAAGTTACATTCTCTAATAGACTTCAATATGATACTTGAGTTAAGATTTGGGACAAATGGAAACAATACATTTTGTCCAGGCGCCCGGATATTGTTTGAATCTCCGTAAACCTGTACTCTGCCTTATACTTTTGGATTGTTTTATTTTTTTTTTGTCATCTCTCTCTCGCTCTCTCTCTCTCTCTCTCTCTCTCTCTCTCTCTCTCTCTCTCTCTCTCTCTCTCTCTCTCTCTCTCTCTCTCTACTGACACATGCACCCCTTGTTTGTAATGTTAAGTTTTGGTAAAAACTAAATGAAATAAAAAATGAAAGTGGATGTAGAGAGCACACAAATACACACTTTTGAAAAATGCAAACATTAAAATTTGAGCAGAAGAAAATGAAGCTCTCTGTGCGTCATCCACTCAGGTTGGTGCTCTACAATTGGATGACCTGGAGTACTCAAATGAGTAGAAGTACCTTTAATCTTTGCAGACTAACAAAACAAATGTTACACCATATGTGAGACTCCGCCAGACGTTCCCAGCAGACCCTCGCAATACGTTTGGGCCTGCCAGGTCTGACCGGCATCCCCCCCACCATCACAGCCAACTCTCAACCAGGTAGCGGTCAATTGAGAGCTCCGCCCCTCTTTTCACCCGAGTGTCCAAGACATGCGGCTGCAGGTCAGATGAAAGAACGACAACAAAGTCGATCTTTGAGCTGCGGCCTAAGGTAGCTTGTAGCCAAGAGCACATGTGGACACCTTTATGTCTGAACATGGTGTTCATAACGGACAATCCATGACGAGCACAGAAGTCCAATAACTAAACAGCGCTCAGATTCAGATCGGGGGGGGGGGGGGGGGGGGGTTCCTCCCAACCACATCTCTTCAGGTCTCACTGTCGTTGCCCACGTGTGCGTTAAAGTCACCCAGCAGAACGAGGGAGTCACCAGAAGAAGCGTTCTCCAGCACCCCCTCCAAGGTCTCTAAAAAGGGTGGGTAGTCTAAGCTGTAGTTTGGTGCATAAGCACTGACCACAGTCAGAACCCGTCCCCCCACACGTAGGCGGAGGAGGGTACCCTCTCGTTCACCGGGGTAAACCCCCACGTACAGGCACCAAGATAGGGGCAATCAGTATGCCCACCCATGGTCTGTCCAGAGTGGTAGAGTGTCCAGCTCCTCTCAAGGAAACTGGTTCCAGAGCCAGAGCCATGCGCTGAGGTGAGTCCGACTCTATCCAGAACCTCTCAACCTCACTCACCAACTCAGGCTCCTGCCCCACCAGGGAGGAAACATTCCTCTTACTGAGAGCCAGCTTCTGTAGCCGGGGATCAGACCGCCAAGGTCCCTGCCTTCAGCCACCGCGTTTCTCAGTACACATTTAGTTTTACTCATGAGGACTTCATGTTTCTATCCAGATGGTGTTGGGTCAGATTGAGGAGCATCGCCGCAGCCACCAGCCAATCAACATCCCCTTCTTTGATGTCTTCCTCAGGAACCTGTGCCAAGGTGAGCACAGACCTGTTTCTGTCCTTCATGGTTGGGAAGCTGCCGCTGCATTTTAATCTCTAAAAGCTTGTAGCTATCCTTTGATCTTGATAAGTGTTTGTTATTTTTAGTTTTTAGCATCATTTTGTGAAGCAATTAGCAACTTCTGTCAGTAAAAGATGCTGTGTGAATAAACCCTCTCACTGGTTCAGGATCCAGTGTCGAGCTGAAGGAGGACAAATGCTGGGAGAAGGTGGAGGTTTCAACCAATCACCATCGAGCCAACAAACTAACCGATAAGAACCCCAAAACGTACTGGGAGTCTAATGGCTGTACCGGCTCACACTTCATCAACATCTACATGCACAAGGGTGTTGTCATCAGGTGGGCGGGGCTTGTCTGTTCCTTTCTGTCGCCTGACTCTTTTGAGCCTCTTAAGCATGAATTGTCATTTCTCTGCTCAGACAACTGGCTATTCTGGTGGCCAGTGAGGATTCAAGCTACATGCCGGCCCGGATCTTGGTTCTTGGAGGAGATGACCCAACCAACATCAACACAGAACTGAACACGGTGAGTCTGATTAACGTGGCTCAGCACGTTAATCAGGATGGCTCCATGTCATCTTGTTTGATGGTGCAGTGTTTGTACAGGTAAACGTGGCCCCCTCTGCTAGTCGAGTGGTTCTGCTGCAGAACATGACCCGTTTTTGGTCCATCATCCAGATCAGGATCAAGAGATGCCAGCAGGTCTGGGCTCAGAGTTCAGCTCTGTTCATTCGGTGCTACAGCCTCCTCTCGTGTTCTCACGGCTTCCTCACTGCTGCAGGGTGGGATTGACACTCGCGTCCATGGCTTTGAGGTTTTGGGTCCAAAACCAACGTTCTGGCCCGTGTTCAAGGAGCAGCTGTGCTGTCGTACATACCTGTTCTACAGCACCAAGGCTCACACCTGGTGTCAGGAGGTGGGGCAGGACAGGACGCAGCTGCTGCAGCTCTTCAACAAGTATGTCTTGAATTCAAATGCCAGTATTTCCACAGAGCTCACACTTAAATGTGTGTTTGTGTGTGTCCGTGTGTTTGTGGCAGACTGAACAGCGCACTCAGACACGAACAGATGTTTGCAGATCGCTTCCTGCCTGACGCTGAGGCAGCTGAAGCTCTGGGTCGAACCTGCTGGGAGGCTCTCATTACCCCCATTGTCCACAGCATCACACAAGCAGGTACGTGCATACAGTGATGTCATCTAACAAAGGCTGTTGGGTTTGGGCCATACCTTCATGTGACTGTTTTGTGGGTCTCAAGAAAGCGTAAAAGGTTTTCATACACCAGGCGCTCAAAAACAACAAGGGTGCATCCAAAATGTTATAAAAATCTCCATGTTATCCAGTGAATTGGAATTTTTTTGCAACGTTGCCATGGTAACTCGAAACACTATGAAAGTAATGGCACGCTTCCCCTACCAAGCCAGTCCTTTAAATCTAAGATTTGTGGGGGTGCATGCTTCTGTTCGAGCCTCATTAATGTATGCGGAAGACATTTTGAAAGGGGCCAAGATGGTGGCATCGTGGTGAGAAGCCAGTTAGCTATAGCTCTCCCCGACGCTAGTTAAATGAGCTGCTCATTTCTAAACCCAGACAACCCAACAGCTGGTCTAAACACCAAAGTAGTCAGACATGAAAACAGGTCAGGGGTAAGATTTTAACAACATCACCTTCATTTAGGCAGAAACATTTAGACTTGCAGCACAACCAGTGTGTTTGTTTCTGACCACAATCAAAGTCTGGGACCTGCAGGAACCTCTTGGGTGAGAGTTTAAACGTCTCCAATGTAACCAGAGAAGTCCAGCTGTTTTTAACTGTAACCATCAGGATGATCATGTCCAGGACGACTGAGTCTACACCTACATGCTGCAGCAGCTTCAGTCAGAAGGGAAACTGAAAATTTACATGTAGCTGCTGTCAGGAACAACCTAACAGATTTCAGACGTTAAAACTCTCACAGCTTTGTGTGTTATGAGATGATGTATTTCTGATCCCTATCAGCTTCTAGTGGCAGAACCTGGTGTGGTCCACCACAGAGAAAGCTGCTCCAGCATGATGACTTTAGCTATTCTACAGGTTATTGCTGAGCCTTCTGACGCTCATACACACACACACACACACACACACACACACACACACACACACACACACACACACATGAGTGTTGGTGTGTGGCTGCGTCTGACTGCTGATGCTCGTGTGTTTTTTTTATTTCTGCACTGAGTAGTGGGAACCTCCCATTTTTGGCTTCAGCTTCCCCCCGGCGGAGCAATGGGCGGGCTTTGTCCATTTGTTTATATGTCGATGGGTAGGACCGACAGGCAGCTGGTGTGATCAGCTCTGAAAGGTGTTGATCAGAATTTGCAGGTTTTTTACGTCCCAGTGCGGGACAACATGAAATTCCAATACGCATCGAAATAGAAATGAAGTACAGACACACGTGCCTTTCAATATTACTGTTACATATATATATATATACACCATCGAAAGTTCTCTCATCTGGTAGTGAGTGGGACATAACGGTCGACCTGGGGAAGCAGTTCCAGTTCCCCAGAGAGATCGTCTAACCAGATCTGATCCTTTGGTCAAGGCCAAGTAAGACCATCCTGCTGGTGGAGCTCACAGCCTTGTGGGAAAAGGGCATGGAGGCTGCCAATGAGCGCAAGCGTTCCAAGTATGCCGACTTAGTGGAGGAATGCAGGAAGGCTGGCTGGAAAACCATTATACACCCAGTTGACGTAGGATATAGGGGCTTTGTAGGGTATTCAACTGTTTACCTGCTCCAGGACTTGGGATGCACAGCAGCAGGGTGCCGGAAAGCCACGAAGGAGTTGGTAAAGGAGGCAGAAAGGGCTAGATTTTGGCTGTGGATAAGGACGAAGGAAAGGGTTTGGGGGGAACAAACATCGAGGGCATCAACGGGGGGGACAGGGAGAGATCCCTGCCATCGCTCCGCCACCAGGAGATGTACTGGGGTTTAAGGACCGAAACATCTATGATTGGTGGTCCCCAGCTGATGACCCGTTAATGCCCGGAGAGAATTGTAGAGAGGTATGAGTGCACATGAGTTGAGGTGAACACCCATACTTAAAGGCATCCACCACCTCAATGTCTGCTCCCTGGATGTTTACTGGTGAGTGAGGAGGAGTGTTTCTCTGGAAGTCCATCACATCTGTTGTTTATCTGAGGGCAGTAGAGGGTGGTGATAAACTGCAACGGATGTAACATCACCAAAGCTCTGACGAAAGTGACCGGAAGTAGCTAAAACTCAGCAAAACAAGGTTAAAACCATTGTTGCTCTGTGTGTTAGGTTCATATGTGTGACATAGCTGTAACTCATAGCTGTGGAAGGATGGATGACTAGATAGATGGAAGGATGGATAACTAGATAGATGGAAGGATGGACGGATGGAAGGATGGACAGATGGATGTGTAGGTGGACTGATGGACAAGTAGTTGGATGGATGGATGACTAGATAAATGGACGGATGGATGGATGGGCGGAAGGATGTGTGTTTAGATGTGTTGGTGGACTGATGGACAAGTAGTTGGATGGATGGATGGATGATTAGATAGATGGTAGGATGGATGGATTGATGGAGTACTAGATATATGGATGGATGGACAGATGGATAGGTAGATGGATGAATGGATGGATGACAAGATAAATGGAAGGATAGATGGATGACTAGATGGATGGAAGGATGGATGGATGGATGGATGGATGAATAGATGGATAGATGCACGGATGGATGGAAGGTTGGATGGATTGATAGATGGAAGGATGAATGGATGGATGGATAGATAGATGGATGGATGACTAGATAGATGTATGGATGGATGATTAGATAGATGGAAGGATGGATAGATAGATTACTAGATAGATGGACGGATGGATGGATGACTAGATAGATGGAAGGATGGGCCAATGAATGGATGGATGGATGGATGGATGGCTGGTTAGATGGATGGTTGACTAGATAGATGGAAGGATGGATGTGTACGTCCAGCATTGGTCAGTTTAGAAACAGTCTGACCTTTCTACGTCTATTCAACATCTGGTCAGAAAGGAGACACAACTCTGCATGTGTTCCCTTTAAATGAGCCTGCTTTCATACCAGCTGGGGCTCACAGACTCTGCAGCTCTGAAAGATAAACAATAACTTTCTTTCCCAAGGCCCTATCTGTCTCCCCCAACAAAAGAACAACTCCAGCCCGGATCAGTTGCTAAAATTAAGAATGATTTCCTAAATCAATATGAACTTCTTCCATGTCTTATGGTCTAGATAATCATTAAATACACATTTGCTTATTGCTACTTATTACAATCATATTATAATGAAATGCTTCATTAATCTGTGTTCAATAATTGTTATGTAATGTTTTGTCTACCTAGGGCTGGGCGATATGGATGAAAACTTGTATCTCAATATTTTTTTGCTGAATTCCGATATACGATATATATCTCGATATTTTTCCTCCTGTAAAATATTTACAAGTTAACTCACTTCAAGCTGTCTTGAGAAATTACATACATAAATCAGTAGATAAAATGCATAAAAATGTGTTGATTTTTGTCAAACTTTAACCTTAGTGCCTATTCTCTACCAGTTTGAGCTTTAGAAACACTGGTAGAGCTGCCTGATAACACACACACACACACACACACACACACACACACACACACACACACACACAGTTGGGAGCTAGAGGTGTATCAAATGTCCCACGGGCACTTTTTATTTATATATTTATGATTAATGTACAATTATTTAAATTTCATCTAGAGGTGGCCCATATCGTATATTTATTGTCCAGAGAAATAAAATATATCCCGTGCGTGGGTCACGCACAGTGGAGCTATTAGTTATTAGGGCAAACATGGCTGGAATCTAACCGTACTGACTCATATCAGCGATTATACTGTAATGACTCAGAGTCTCTGGTTGCTCTTTTATGGGGATTATTTTCGGGCTCCTGTCGCCGTAACCCACGCCTTACAAACTCGCCTTCAAAATAAAACGTTAACCCTCCAGTTTGCTATTCAAACCCTTACAATGCGTTTGAGGTAATTTGGCCACTCTGACTATCCGTAGATGTTTCCCGACTGCACAGTGGAAGGATGGGTTTGGTTCGTCTCCACACTAGCAGAATGGATAAATAGAACTCCGTTGGTGTTGAACGCCCCCAAATAATCAAAAACCAGGACGCTAAATGCAAAGTTTAGAGCAGCACATTCACCCAGAGGCTCTCAGATAGAGCAAACTTGTGAAAATACACGTAATAACCGCTTAGAGACGGAGCAACATGTCGCTAGCATAGCGGCTAATCGCTAGCATAGCAGTTTGACCAGTTATGTCGATATAAAGATATAAAGTCATCTTATATCTTGTTTAAAAGTTATACCGATGTTTTAAAAATATCGATATATCGCCCAGCCCTATGTCTACCACTGCAGTGTGTTCAGCATGTTTATACAACATCTGCATTCACACAATAACAAGTATGGTTAAGTTAAACAACCACACATAACTTGCCCTTTTAACCAGTCAAAACATCCGTTATCAAAGAAGGTGTGTTTCTGAGTTGTCTTGGTAACATCTCCCAAGCTGTCAGCCTTTGATTGGCTGTGCAAATCATAACATCAAAACCTTAAAACTGGTTCATGCTGAGTGATTTGTTAGTTCTAGAGAAAGCTTCAGTGGATGGATAGATGGAAGGATGGATGGATGACTAGATAGATGGATGACCTGTCGCAACCTCTTTAACCATCAAAGATTTTGACACGTCGTCAAAACTTTTTTGCACCTACAAAGCTGAGACGGCAAAACAGTTCCTGCAAAACAAAGCTGGTATTATTATTAGACTCCTTAAGAGTCCTTCAGACGCACGGTTCCATCCAGCTGTCATGACATGAAGGATGGACAGATGAATGTATTGATGACTAGTAAGATGGAAGGATGGGTTAGGGTTAGGGTTAACCCTAACCCTCCATAGATAGATGGATGGATGGATGGACAGTTAGAAGGATGGATGCATAGATGGATGGATGGACAGATGGATAGATGACTAGATGGACGGATGGATGGCTAGAGAGATGAATAGATGGATGGATGGCTAGAGAGATGGGAGGATGGATGGTTAGATGGTTAGATGAATGGATGACTAGATAGATGGATGGATGGATGGATAGATGACTAGATTGATGGAAGGATGGATGGATTGATGGATGACTAGTAAGATGGATAGATGGATGACTAGATAGATGGAAGGATGGACAGATGGATGGATAGATGGATGGATGACTAGATAGATGGACAGATGGATGGATGGATGGATGACTAGATAGATGGAAGGATGGACGGATTGATGGATGACTAGTAAGATGGATAGATGGATGACTAGATAGATGGAAGGATGGACAGATGGATGGATAGATGGAAGGATGGATGGATGAATAGATAGATGGATGGATGGATGACTAGATAGATGGAAGGATGGACAGATGGATGGATAGATGGAAGGATGGATAGATGACTAGATAGATGGACAGATGATGGATGGATGACTAGATAGATGGAAGGATGGATAGATGACTAGATAGATGGAAGGATGGATGGATTAATGGATGGATGACTTGTAAGATGGAAGGATGGATGACTAGATAGATGGAAGGATGGATGGATGACTAGATAGATGGACAGATGGATGGATGGATGACTAGATAGATGGAAGGATGGATGGATGACTAGATAGATGGACAGATGGATGGATGGATGACTAGATAGATGGAAGGATGGATAGATGACTAGATAGATGGATGGATGAATGGACAGATGACTAGTAAGATGGAAGGATGGATGGATGGGTGACTAGATAGATGGACAGATGGATGGATGGATGGATGGATGGATGGATGGATGGATGACTAGATAGATGGAAGGATGGATAGATGACTAGATAGATGGAAGGATGGATGGATGAATGGACAGATGACTAGTAAGATGGAAGGATGAATGGACAGATGACTAGTAAGATGGAAGGATGGATGGATAGATGGATGGATGGATGACTAGATAGATGGATGGACAGATGGATGGATGGATGGATGACTAGATAGATGGATGGATGACTAGATAGATAGAAGCATGGATGCATAGATGGATGGATGGACAGATGGATAGATGGCTAGAGAGATGGAAGGATGGATGGATGGATAGATGAATGGATGACTAGATGGATGGATGGATGGACGGACGGATGGATAGATGACTAGTTAGATGGAAGGATGGATGGATAGATGGATGGATAGATGGATGGATGACTAGATAGATGGATGGACAGATGGATGGATGACTAGATAGATGGAAGGATGGATGGATGACTAGATAGATAGAAGCATGGATGCATAGATGGATGGATGGACAGATGGATAGATGGCTAGAGAGATGGAAGGATGGATGGATGGATAGATGAATGGATGACTAGATGGATGGATGGATGGACGGACGGATGGATAGATGACTAGTTAGATGGAAGGATGGATGGATAGATGGATGGATGGATGACTAGATAGATGGATGGACAGATGGATGGAAGGATGGATGGATGACTAGATAGATAGAAGCATGGATGCATAGATGGATGGATGGACAGATGGATAGATGACTAATTAGATGAAAGGATGGATGAATGGATATCCAGCCTATTAATCAGGCATGTGTCAAAAATTGTTTATTTGGCGTTAAAGTTTGTTCGTTTAAAATATAAAACTTAATGTGATGAAGTTCTGGAGAGTTAGATGATTTTCCGGTTTTAACAAGGTTCTCCTAATAAATCTTCCCCATCTTGAACAAGGGTCAGGTCCCTCCGTAAAGTGTGTAAATGTGTAGAAATAAATCAATAAAATGTATTAAAGTGCACAAGTCTCCTTCAGTACTAGGATGAGTCCGTTACACTTTCCAAACCTAATATTAGAAGACCCTATACTGTTATTTTTTAGTTCCTCTCCAATCATTTCATAGTTCTTTTTTTAACAACAATGGTGGCATTATTATTTGCTTATAAAGTGCTGGGGGAAACCCTGGTATTGGTTAGTTTCTTAAATCTGGGATTGGTCACTGTTGAGATCGGGTCTTTGGCAAGAAAATAAGTAATTTCTTGGTGTTTCTAGGAGCTGGGAACATTTGGTCGTGTTGTAAAGAGTCGGTGAATGGAGGTCTGAGGATGAATTGAGTTTTTTTTCCCTCTATTTTCCGTTGCTTGATCGTAAACATCTTTGTGAGCAGTCTTCAGATGATTAAATACATTTGTAGTGTTGCTCTGTGGTGAAACTATAACAGGGTGGATAGGTCTACACACTCAGTGCGTTTACATGCAGCCAGTAACCCTTTTAAAACCCAAATATTCACAATAACCCGGTTCCGCAGGTCCATGTAAACACCGCCAAAAACCCGGATATGCTCATAACCGGGTTTTTAAAAACCCGGTTACTACACCTGGGGTAACCCTTTTCTAACCCGAATGTTTGGTCGTGTAAACGCATACCGGGATATCCCCATCAAAGCGTGTGTTCTGCGCATGCTCTGTTCGCAAGGAATCTTGGTCTTTAGAGTAGCGAGACGTCTTGTATGCGCCAGAACACCGGAAGTAAACAACAAGTTGGGAGCAACATGGCGAGTCGCAGCACAGCACCACACTTTTGGAGTGACGAGGAAACTAAAGCACAAACAAACGTGGTCGCTATCTCTTCCGAACTGGGAAAAATGTTGTTGTTTTCAACGGATACCAGAACAAGAAGAACCGGAAATGACGCATATTGCGTCTGGACGTAGTCCATACGTCCTGACGCTACCCCAACGTCCGCATTTACATCGGGTTATGCAAGTTAGAGGTAACTCTTTCTATTTGTGCTTGTAAACGGGTTATTCTGATCAACTCAGAAACCCGAATGCCGACCTTAACCCGATCATAACCTGGATATTGGCTGCATGTAAACGTAGTCACTGTTGCTGCTTGATCCACATCTGATTCCACAAACCCATTCAGCACCACCGAGTCGTTTTAGCCCTTTTCCACCGATGGTTTTCTTTCTTTAGCCATTATCCTCTCCTCTCCAAATAACTTCTGCCTAGCCTTCCTCAAGGCAGGAGATAGTAGTAGAAGACTGTTTTCACATTCAACCTTCATGTGAAACTCTGATGGTCACTGCTGTTGCTAGCGCTAGCCACAAGCTACCTATCAGGCTGATTTTTACTTTTCCGTCAGCTCGAGAATGGAGTTGCACACACGCATTGATGGAGAGGTTCTACCTTCATACCTCTCAATCAGCTGGGGAGGGTTGCAGACCCAATTCCTCACCAGGACAAGAGAAGGCCAGGGTTAGGCGTCGTTTGAGTTTGAACGATTCCAATTCCTCGTTTCAATTCTCCATTCCGATTCTTTCCAAGAGGCAGGATCCAAATGCATTAGGTGTTTTACATGAGCCAGCTAACCACAGGTCTTACTTAATGAAATAACTTCAACATGATTTTTGTTCTATGAACGACAACATCACCTTCATGTAGACAGAAACTTTTAGACTTGCAGCACAACCAGTGTGTTTGTTTCTGACCACAACCAAAGTCTGGGACCTGCAGGAGCCTCTGGGCTAAACGTCTCCAACATAACCCGGAAGTCCAGCTGTTTCAGCTAAAACTCAGGATGGTCATGGTGACAGTTGGTCTTTCTGCTATGTTCTTTCCAGAACCCTCAGCATGCAGCCCTCTCACCTGGCTTCTCGGCGAGTACCTGGAAAACACTGAATCAGCTCGTCGCTGCAAGAACCGGGCAGCCATCTTTAACTCCAGAGTGAGACGTCTGACGCACCTCCTGGTCCATGTGGACACAAGCCAAGGAGAAGGCGAGGAGCTCAGACCACCCATCAAGTCCAGTGAGTGTGGAACCAGTTTGACCTCTGACCCCTGCTTCACGCTGCCTCCTGTTGAGTGTTTGTCTAAGCATGTTCAGACATGTTTGATGATTGAAAATCTAATCAGACTACTAGAAATGATTTTCTTGTGGATCTAAAAGCTCCAGTTCAGTGTTGTTAAATTTCTTGGCTTTCATAAAATGGCTCACCGATTGCATCAACAGGAAACAGGAAGCAGAAAGTTGGAGACTGAACTTTGCTTCTGGTTTGAGCTCTGCGACTAAAACGTTTATTTTATTTTCAGAAGGTCTCAACCGAAGTAAAGAGCTGAAGAGTAAGTACGATCTGAGGCTGCCTTTCTTTTTGTCCTCATTTCATCTGTTCACACGGTTCCCCCTGCTGGACGGAGGAGAACCTGCGTGGTTTGGAATTACTGATGTGTGATTCAGTCGTACACCAGGGGGCGCCCATCTGCTCTTTTGCACATCCTGCAGGGGTGATTCAGATGTGAAACCCTCCAGCAGGGGGTGTCATTCGTTGTTCAGTTGAATCACTTAGCTTTCTTCAGACATAGTCATCCTTCTGTTGGGACTGCTGGTGTTTCCCACCGAGCTCCTCCCTCCCGCTCACAACTCAACATGGTTTCTTTTCAGATGGAAAAAGAGAGCGCTCCATCTTTACGTTTTCATCTGCATCCTCTAGCAGGTCTGAGCTTTGGTCCAAAAACCAAAAGTCTGAAATGTTTTCTTCTAGATGGAAAAGAGGGTAAGAACAAAGATGTTGCCACTGCCTCCTCTTCTTCCTCTTCATCTTCAGCCAAGCCGAGAGTGAAAAGCAGCAGCAGCATTGCAGGCATTGCCCTCTGCTGGCAGGGAGTGGTACAGCGCCGGGTAGGTCTAGTGGGTCTCATCGGATCTCCTGCCTCTCTAATCTCTCTCTGACCACTCATTACTCCCCTCTCTTCTCCCCTCAGATGAAGAAGTTTCTGGAGTGGAGCTGCAGTCTGCCGGACTTTGTGGAACTTTATCTGACTCTTTACTTGCAGCTGAAGAACGCCATGGAGGAGCTTTTTGGACAGCAGACGGCCTTCGTCCTGGCTTTGAGACATGGGTTCTCCGCAGCACTGTTGCAGCTCTCCATCCTCAAAGCCATGCATGTGAGTCTAGATGCGGTCCAGCTGGGTCTAGTTCTGGTGTGAAGAAACACCTGACTGAATGGTTCAGCAGTTTCTCACACGTTCTGATGCGTGTGATTCCCCGTGAGGATGTCTATTCTGTCGAACTTTAACAAACTTGTGTTCTGGTTCTGAACCTCCACGAGGTTCTTTAAAGGTGGTTTTCGGCGGGCATTTCTCAGCCTGAAACAATCCTGTACAGCGTGGGTTAGGGTAGTTGTGTTTTCCTGCCAGCTCCATGACATAAAGTGGGTGTTTCCCTCATAGGTGCGGGGGAAGAACAGGTCAATCAGTCAATCAAAGCTTTTTTTATAAAGCGCCTTCCGCAACCCTGTCAGGAAGCCCAAGGCGCTGAACATGGTACAGTAGAAAGTTAAGTATAGTGAATAAATCAGAAAATAAAAGCAATTCAAATTACAGATTACAAATTACAACAAAGGTGAAACATTCTAGTACAGGACAAATGTGTAAAACAAGGGATAGAGTGAACCAATGAAAACTGTGAAATAAAATCAACATGAAAGAGGGGCAAATTCAAACACGTTCAGGAAACGCCAAGCGGAGGAGGTGGGTTTTTAGGCGACTCTTGAAGACTGGCAGAGATGTGGACAGCCCAGGTGATGACTCGCAGCGCTCTTGGGGGTTGCGTGATCTTTCCTCCATAAATAAATAACATGAGTAAGCAGTGGAAGGTAACCTGTATGCTCCGGAGCAACCAGTGACTCCGCCCCTAGCCAATCAGTGACCACTGTTGCGACGTCGGCCCGGGACAAAAATTTGGGAGAAAGTAGAGGGAAAATACTGAACTGTGCTCTTGGAAAAGGTGATCGGGCTGAGCTGCAGCAGTTACGCTGAGTAGTGCTCCTGGAAAACCAGCTTAAGTTGGAAGGTCCTGCTTTAATCCCCCAGCCTGTTTCGTCTGATGTGGTCCACCTGTAACACGGGCCTGTAGACGCTGCACATCACTTTCAGAGGGCCAACTTAGAACCAGCGTCCGGTCTGGTCTCGGGTGAAACCAAACCCGAACCAGTCGAGATCATTCAGATCCCGGGGTGATCCAGGTACTGGGCTGGACAGTCATCCCTGGAGCTCAGGATGGATTCAGGTTTCGTTCCTACTGTGACAGTGGTGATGATGAGGATAGTGAAGGTAATATACCTGTGTGCAGGTGAGTGAGCGTTTTGCTCAGTACATCGATGAAAAGATCCAGACCAGCGGGACCTCATGTAGCAGCGTGGAGACTCTGGACCGGCTGCAACAGTTTCTGGAGCCGATGCTCTTTCTGTCTGGCCTGGAGCTTGCCAACACCTTTGAGCACTTCTACAGGTATGAACACCTGACGGACAGGTAATTCAAATCTTAGGGCTCAGCATACCTGTGCAGTAGGAGTGTGGGATTTGAGGTACCTCGAGATTCAGTTTAGATTCAGGTCCTTGAACTTGATTTTTCAACGATTACCACTATTTTTGCGCCACAGCTTTACAACAAAGTAGCTCCTTAGATCTGTGAAAGAGGCGGGACTTGTGGGAAAGTGTAGTTAAGGGCAGGGGCGGATTAAGAACTGAAGAACATCCGGGGCTTAACACACGCACGTGCGCGCGCACGCGAACACACACGTGTCACGCACTAGTCAACATTATATATATATGTCTTGTTTTTAATCTGAAGCTACATATTCAGCATATTCAGGGCAGAGTATTGTTCCTGTTAGTGTTTAGTGTGAGATGATAGTAAATATTCCCTTTCTTTCTCCAACAACTTTACCTGATAGTAAGCTAACTTTAGGCAAACCAGCAGCACAACAAATATTTTCAAATAAGACTCACAAACCTGAGTCAGCACCAGTCTCATCAAAGCTGGGGTTCTGTCGCCGTACTTTTGTCTAAAAAACGTCCTTATGTCCATCTTCACTCATGCGTTTCAGGCAGATTGTAGAAGAAGCCGGCTGCTGAAGGGCTTCTTCTTCAGTGGTGGAGGCTCAGGCAGGCTGTATACAAACTACTGCCAGCTGCTCCCTCTCTGTTGGACTTTGGTACTGCATGTTACTTCCGCGATTTAGATCCGGGGCTTCAGCCCAAGTAGCCGGGCCTAACTCCGCCCCTGGTTAAGGGTATATTCCACCACAAATTAAGATTTTGTCTGTTGCCATATTCTCCATCTTGGATAAGTAGGAAACCAGCCCAGTCATTTTCCTGATCCAGCAGCACTCTTTTAGCTTTAGCTTAGCATAAAACAATTTAAGTGAATGGTTCCAACTAGCATTGAGTGTGGAAAAGTCATTAAAATGATTCAATAGTGAATCTAATTCTGCTTGGTGACCTAAATAATCATACCGACAGCAAGTAGCAGCAGCCCATAAGACACTTGCTTCCATAAGCACAGATGCAGGCAGTGTGTGTGTGTGTGTGTGTGTGTGTGTGTGTGTGTGTGTGTGTGTGTGTGTGTGTGTGTGTGTGTGTGTGTGTTTTAACTTGGTTGTTTTATAGCAGCTTGCTAACGTGTACATTTGTGTTTATGGAAGCAGGTATCTTTGGGGCTGTAAAAGTTGACTTTGAGGTGGATTATCCCTTTAATCCTTCCTCTAGTTGGTTAGCTGGTTAGGGGCAACAACCACCAGCTTCTTCTCTTCGTCTAAGTTTACAAATCAATTTTGAATTGGCACGTGTCACATAGAGTTGCATTGATTCAATGGTGGATCAGCACAATCCTATTGTGCAGGTCTTAGGTCTCTGACTACCTGTGCAGGTACTACCTGGGAGACCGTCTGCTAGCTCGGGGAAATGTGTGGTTGGAGACCTCCGTGATTGATCGGATCGGTAGCTGCTTCCCAAGTCGTTTTCCTCAGCAAATGTTGAAGAACCTGAGCGAGTCAGCGGAGTTGCAGCAGGAGTTCCACCTTTACCGGCTGCAGCAGCTGGACCAGCGCCTGCAGGAACATGGTCAGGTTGGTATAAACACACGGTACCTTAAATGTTCAAGGGTGCTCAGGGGATTTTGCCTGCCAAAGCTCTGTGACCTTTGACCTGATTTGTCCTTCATTTGTTTCCATAGATTGTGGAAAGTGACTGGGCAGAAATAGAGGAGGAGGCAGACATCCAGGTTTTGGTTCTGTCACCTCGCTGCTGGGCCATATCGGCAGTCTGCCTTCTGGACGAACCAGGAAAACATTTTCCAAACAAACTGTGCTCCTACCTTGACCAGTTCTCCCAGTTCTACACTCATAGTGAGTTTATTTATTTACCCAGACGAGTAGATTGAGAACGCATTCTTATTTATGATGACAGTCTAACCAAGAAGCATCAGCAACAGACACAAATGCCACTTAACCACTAGTATTGGCGCTGCTCCGCCCAGCCCGGCTGCGTTCATTCCACAATGCCATAGGAATGCGGACGTGATAATGGGTGGTCTGTGATGTCATGAGCGCATTTCCGAGCATGTGGGCAGGGCAAAAAAGTGTGAAGAAGTCTGAGGCGTCTTCAATAATAAACAAAGGCAGTCTGAGGGTTAGGAATAGACTGGTTCTGGTTATTACACAATCCAGTCACTAAAATGAATGGAAGTCAATGACGGTCCTCACAATTAATTCTATACTATAGTGTGTGTGTGTGTGTGTGTGTGTGTGTGTGTGTGTGTGTGTGTGTGTGTGTTCGCGCGCGCGCCTCCCCACAGCAGTGATAGACATAAAAGCAGCTACAGTCAGAGGCTCATTAACTCACAGCATCCAGTGTGGTAATGAATGGGCATGCGGGAATCCCCTGTGGTTTGATTCTATCCGCCGATCGGTGGCGCCCTCTAGTGGTACGCGCAATTTTGAGCCGGCTGGTCCGCACTGGGTGTGTTGGACCAGTTCGGCTCCAGGCAGACCTCCTCGGGAAGAGGACTGAAAAGACGTCCGGTTGCACACGGGAAAATCAAAGGCTACCTAATTGAGAACAGACCCAAGCTGGTCCAGGTGGACGGATGGTAATTTGGCGCAAGCTGAAAGCTTTTGCAGGAACTGCATGAGCTGGAGGCTTTGGCTGAAATTGGGTAATATAGGAAGTGATTCTTCTTTTAAGGTTCATTGTTTATAAGGTTTGAACCAACCAGATTTGAGAAAATTTTATAGGAGTTATCAGAGGTTCCTCAGACCTCCTCTTTCTCAGACACTTAGAAAAGCTTATTTCAGGAAATCTGTTAAGTTATTTGTTAATATACTGATACTGACATGTGACATAACTGATAATAAATCGTTATAAAATCATCAGTTAGACTGATTTAGTGCATTTATGATCTGAAATAAGTCATGAAATAATAAATATTTATGCTGATTCATTATTGTAAGGCAGTCAAGACATTATTAAATCTTAGATAAAACATTCATTGTAGATAGTGTAATTGTAATTAACCTGTAAAGTGAAGAAATCATTGTATAAGGTTCTTTTATTAAGGCTAAGAGTTCTGTCCTTTGTCTGGAGTCTTCTGGCTTGAAGCACAGATCTTAGGTGTGTTCTTGCTGTGCGTTATTTCTAATTCCATGTTGTCGTTCTTTTGTAAAACACAGAAACGGTTTTGTTGCCTGTTATTGATGCTACAGTTTCGCCGACGGCTGCCGCCTTCTTCAGGCTGACGCCGGCGAAACTGTAGCGTCAATAACAAGTAACAAAACCGTTTCTGTGTTTTACAAAAGAACGACAACATTGAAGCACAGATTCTGTTACGACTGCACCTCCCAGTTGGGAGGTCACGAACAGTATGTTCTCTGGTTTGGAGACCAGACCGTTCACCTGTGGCACACTGATGCAACAGTGCCAATAGTTAGCTTTACTCCAAAGAACAACAGATAAGATAAAACAGTTAGACATAAAGACAAAGGACTGTACTCGTATATAATATGCACAAGCAATCAAAACAGACCTAAAACGATCAGTGACGGTGAACAGAACTGAAGTCAAAATGGAACTGAGCTTAAAATGGCGTTGCCTTGTTTTATATCTCTGAATTGTTGATAAGTTTTAGTAAAGCGGATTGGACACTTTAATTCAACAAGCCAGATTCTCTTCCGGCAGCCGAAAGCTCTGATTGGTTGGAACAATGTGTCATGCGTTTCTATGGAGATGAGGGTCAGTCTGTCTGTGCAGTAGTCCTGTTTTCATTAAACACATAAATCATGACATCTTTATTCCACAGATCATTCACTTGATTATTATTGATCAACATATGTTTCGAATAGCTTTAATCACAAAGTAAGTACTTTGATTATTGAAAAGCGTTCTTCTTCTCCTTCTGGCTCTTCTCCTGGAATGTAAACAGTCTGAGGAACACCCGACCTTGGCGTTTTCTACACGGGTGTTACTGTGTACAGGGGCAGCTGTGTGGAGCTGAAAATAATGAACTTCATAACGTTACACTGGTTTTGGTGACATCACTTCCGTTTATCCGCCGGCAGCAGATGACGACGCCACCTTCTGCTGCCCGCACGGATTCCCGAACTTGATAAGACAACAGAGGAACACACAGAACGACGCATGATGGAGCAACAAGAAACAAAGTTAAGCAAAGACGCAAGGAAGTTCAACTCGTATACAAGAAAAAGAAAAAGGAACAGGATAACACCATACAAATCACCAGTGCCTCATTTATCAAAATGTTCATATGAACGTTCTTATATTCCTTCCTACAAATGAAATTTAGGATGTGTCTACTCCTGATTTATGAAACATGCGGTGGCCTCTCGTACGCACGTTTCTCCGCAATCGTCTGATGATAAATCCCACCTGTGTGTACCCAGGTGCTCGTGTCCGTTCAGTCATTTACATACAGAAACGCCCTCAATTAACCATTTTTGGTCACGCTATGTCCTCCGCACGTGAGGGGATTCCCCGTTTATTTTTATTTTTTTCTTGCAAAAAATAACAAAATCTAAATTGACAGCAAGATCGAGACACTGGCTGCCAAAGCGCAAAAAACCCAAACACGTTTCAGAGGTTATAAACTTGGTCAGGACAGCAGAGAGGTTCCTGTCAGAAATTAAAAAAAAAATGGATTTGATAAATGGTAGAGTAACGGGTTCTAGTTTACATTTAAGGAGTCGTTCTGTTTGGAGTTAGTTCCATTTGGAAATGTTGTCTGAGAGAGCAGCCTCAGCCTCTTCTAAGCTGTCATTCAGGCTGGTTGTATGTATGGCTGGGGAGCAGAGGAGTTTCAGGGGGGTTGTGTAGTTGTAAAATAAATTTGAACTGGACTCCGATTCGTGAGGTTTGTCTGTTGCTCCACAAAGGGTACCAAATCCGAGCTTAGCGGAAGGATTTCTTCCTCACGGAGAACTCGTTTCCTCCAGAGAGCACGCTCTGTTAAATCCTCCAATAACAGCCATGACATCATGTCAGATTCCTGTTGGTCACATGTGTCTTCTATTGGTTTTAGCACCAATTATGCGGGGGGAAAAAAACGCTTTTCCACCGACATACTGGGTTAATATAATTTGTGGATATACGTGAATTGAGCTTCAGTACTGCTGTTCTCCCGTTCTACCACTAGATGCTGTTCCAATGCATGGTCAGAGCTGTGGCTTACACATACAAAGCACATTAAAAACCTGCAGATACCCAACATGGGCAATAAGAAAAGGAACGCGTACCAACAAGATGAACCAGAAACACAGAAAGACCAAAACCAGCAATAACCCTTCCGTATTTTAAAGGCATAACAGAAATAAATAACGATGAAAATACGTGATATCAACAGACCAACAAAACCATACGTGACAGTCAGAAAAAGATTTTTACACCCAAAGGACAAGATGTCGGCAGGTAAAAAATGTGGAGTCAGAAAATCCCATGCAACCTCTGCAATAACATACATTGGAGAAACCGAACAGCAACTCAACACACGAACAATCGAACATCAGAGTGCAAGAAGGTGACAAGTCGAAGACTCACAAGAGCAGCCAAGCAAGACGCAGAAAGTACAATAAAGAAATCTACCATAACAGACCACTGCACAAGAGAAAACCATATAATGGACTGGGACAAAACAAGGGTCATAAACACAGAACAACAAAAATACAAAAAAATGGATGAAAGAAATTATAGAAATAAGGAGACGTGGACACAAAACCATGAACACGGACAATGGAGTATTCACGTTGGATCACATAAGGGACAATGTCATCAGCAAGGAAGACACCATCGTCCTCTGCTGCCCGCAGATAAAAGGAAGTGATGCCACCAACACCAGCGATCTCTGATTGCTAGAGACAGTAGCCGAAACATGTGTTACAACACAGTTTTTTTTTTTTTTTACTAAACTGTGTAAATAAACAAAGTAATAGATTTGGGAATAACCAAAGAAATTAAGTTACTGGAACGTAAATTGCGCTGGTTGTTGGAAGTGATAAGCAATGAGGGAAGATATCACGAGTTTCTACTGATGATTATTTTTTACATAAATTGATAATATGTGGAACATTTTGCTGCCGTGAGAGGTAGGAGTGGGGTTGTGTGCGCAGAACGCTTTGCTTCTGTACGTCACTGATTGCATATAGCTATGTTGAGGTCAAAGACCCCAGATTCAGGTGAAGCTGTAGCAAAGGTATTACCGGACTTGATAAAAGGATTATTGAAGGATCCTTCCATTCTAATTTTATCTGAGACATCAATGCCCTCAGATTTGATAGCATTTGGCAAGTGTGAGGACTTGTTGGTATTTATCATAGTCTTAACTGTCTGCCAGAACTTTTTGGGGTCAGAACTACTCATCAGAAACTGGTTTCTTATAACATTTAGATTATGCTTTTCTGATTGACTGGGTACATTTATTCCTTTCAATCTGAAGGATTGCCAGTTGCAGATATTCTTGGACGTCTTTGCTCGTTGCCAAGATTGATCTATTAGACGAATCAGTTCTGAAAGTTCAGTGTTGATCCAGGGACTGAAACAATTTTAACTGACTTTTTTTAAAGGAGCATGTGTGTCATATCTTACAGACAGAACACAATTCATTCAGCTACACACATGTACCTACGCTCCCACTCCTGTAGTATCTGGGATTCCTCAAGGTTCTGTCCTTGGCCACCTGCTGTTTATCATTTATCTTCTCTCTTTGGGTGCCATTTTTCGTAAATGGAAGATAAACTTTCATATGAGGATGACACACAGTTATATAACTCAACTTCACCATCTGCTTCCACCATCCTCACTTACTGATTGCGTTGGTCCTGGTTCTCTTTCAACTTCTTGAAGTTGAACTCCAATAAAACTGACGTGCTTCTCAACGGCACGAAACCTGCAATAGCAAAGGCATCTACGTTTTCAGTACTAATAGACAACACTTCTGTCTGTTCAAAATAGCTTATTTACCATAACTGTTATTGGTGTTTGTTTGGGTTTTACATTTTCTAGTGATGGAATGTTTTATTTTACCCTGATTGTGCAGTGCCCTTGGAATTTTTGAAGGGCGGTTCAAATAAAATGTATCATTATCTAAAATCGAGATAAAGGAGTTTTAGAAATGTGACCAAGCAACCTCGACAGTATGCTATTCCATTGTTCTTTGGCCACGTCACGTATAAAGGCCTGCTCGTTGAAGTTTTTTTTTTAGCATTTGTTTACTGATAATTAGGGTTGGTTGTTTAGTGTTTGTACCATTGTGGACACAAGCAGTAATAGAATGGTCACTAAGGCTTTGGCAAAAAGGTGCAGATGGTCTGTTGGTGAGAATTATATCAATTAATGTTCCATTATCAGAGGACTTATCGGTAAATCTAGTCAGAGATTGCACAAGTTCCAGTTTTCACCTAGGGTTGTCATGAATCTTGCCTCTGGCTTTAACCCTGACTTGTTCTTTTCCATGCAGGTCAGTCCATGTACGGTCTGAACCACTCAAAGCCTCGGCGGCTGCAGTGGACCTGGCTCGGTCATGCTGAGCTGCAGCTTGGCAGCTGGATTCTCCACGTGTCCACGCTGCAGATGTTCATCTTGCTGCAGTTCAACAGTCAGGAGGTAAGACTTCTACTCTCGGTCTTAAGCTACAGTTGTGTGATAAACTGATAGTTGTGTGTTTGTGAGAACAGGAGGTCAGAGTAGAAGCTGTTCTGCAGGAGACCGGCCTTTCTACTCCAGTCCTGCTGCACGCTCTGCTGCCACTCATCAACGAAGGAGGACCACTGATCTGCAGTCTTCCTGAAGAGCCCAGCCAGGGTGAGAGGCTAAGTTGGCCTCCTCTGACTACTCCTTCTCTCTCACCCCTCCCCTTCTATAATTCCTCATACTCCTCCCTGAGTCATCTCCTCTGACATCCCTAATTCCATCTTCTCCTCTGTGACCCCCTTTCCACTCTGAATCCTCTTATCTCCTCCTAGGTGTGTTGCAGTTGAACCAGGAGGTTATATCTTCCAGCCTTCAGGCTTCTACGGCCCCGGTCCGGCTCCGGCTGCTACCTGGACAGACATATCTGAATGTGAACGAGGATGTAGCAGGAACTCTGGAGAGGAAGAGGAACTTCATCTATTGTCTTATCGTCCACATCATGAAGCAGGAGAAGGAGATCCACATAGATAATTTGGTCTTTAAGGTTGGTCTTCAGAGACTAGACCCCCAGATCCTCCTGCTTCACCTCCTCCTGGTCTCACTGTGTCTCCACTCCTTCAGGTTATGGACTCGTGTCAGAAGCAGGAAGTGCCTCGGTCTCCGGGTGGTGGACGTTTCAGCTGCAGCACTGGTGATGTGCTGTCATGCATCATGCATGTAATCAGCAAAGGCTGCATTCGCCGCAATGAGGACAACCCGCACATCGTGGAGTTTGTCCCCGAGGACCCATCGACTCCACAGAAAGGCCAGGCCCAGTTTTCCTTCAGCCGCTCCGACTCCAGGAAGGAGGCCCCCGACAACCTAGCTGACATAAGGTGTGACAACTAATGCTAGAGTTACCTATCAATCATCATGAGCTTCCCAAAGCTAACTGAAAAAGGATAAGGTCTGTATGTTTGTAAAAATCTCAGGAAATCTTTCCAATCTTCCATTGTGATACAAGCAGGAAAAAAACAACTACTGGGAAGCCACTAACCACTGTGGGAATATGCAAAGCTCATATCCTCCTGACAAAGGCATAGGAACCGGGTGGGACGTTTCCCCTCCCAATACTGGACAAATGCACATTTGTCTCCCCCAATAACATGGAGAAGAAAAAAATTGATTTTGAAATATTTGACTCGCGAGCTTTTATTATGAAGGACACTGCAGACTTCTCACTCATCCCCCCCCCCAAGCTGGCTGGCTGAGTGAAGCAGGAGTCGGAGCCCAGGCGCAGACACAGGTGTCAGAGATGAGTCTGTCATCTGCTGATGATGTCAAAGTAGTTGATTGGCTGAACATGAAGCATATGATTTTGATTGGTCAGAACAAATTTGCGGTCGTAGTCCTGTAGTCCAATAATCAACACTTTTTGGAGAAAATCTCTACCCATATGAATAAGATAATATATCCTACATTCATATTATTAAATAAAACTAAAACAGGACTGACACATAAACAGCTTTTTTATAATTAAAACTAGGGCTGTCGCGGTTGAGGAATTCCCCCTGCGGTGATTCAGGGTGGCTTAATATTGCGGTATGTGATATTATTGCAGCCCTTTTTTATTGCAGTACTATCTAAACATAATGTTTACACATTTAAAAAAGGTTAAAAATTGCCGTGCCTTCTTTTATAACACTTTACTGAATGCAGGTCAAAGGGCAGTAACAACACAGATCGCAGTAACGTTTGTTTCTCCGACAGTCGGAGTCCGACTGAACTTAAAAACAACAAAATTCAGGAGGAGGTTAAACTTTTAAATGCAAATTTGGCTGCAGCGTCTAACAAATAAGAAACAAGTCCCCATTTTGTTTAGTTGTTTAAAATAAAGCATAAAAAATTACATGTACCGGGCGCGCCGGGGGGCGGGCGCACTATCATTTCACTTTCACACACACGAATGACGGTGATTTATAGCTCAGTCACGTCCTTGTTACCCACAAGGAAAACCAGCATGTTAGCCATATACGGTTTGAGAGAGGATCTGAGAGGGGTGGCAACATTTGCAGCAACACTGAAAACCCTCTCAGATGGAGCGCTCGTTGCACTAACGCACACGTACTTGCGTGCGACTCTGGCGAGCAAAGGGAATCTCTCCCGGTTGTTGCCCCACCATGTCAGGGGGTTTCTTTAGGGTGGATGCATTCCTCCTGCAGGTAGCGAGTGAGCTCCAGCTCGGCTCAAACTCTCTTCGGGACGGTTGCAGAAGCAGTGCTTGTCCGGGACTTCAGCAGGTCTCCGAGCGTTTATTATTATTTATTTTGCCGCTGGTGGCAGCTCCGTCTCGGCCAAGGACCCTGGCTGCGCAGCAGCTGACGTACTGAAAACCAAAGTGCTCCCAAAGGAGCGAAGTAACGTTTCGTTTTGATACCAGTGCAGCCATCCTTCTCAACATGCATCATTGAGTTGAACCAAGTTCAGTAATCGCGGTGGCCCATGATGCAGCGCGGTGGCCTTCTTCATATTGCGATATTTCATTTTTGCGGTTACCGCGACAGCCCTAATTAAAACGTCCACGCTGGCCGGTAATCACCTGGATCTGGCCTAAGTCTCCTCCCCTTCTGGCTGGCTCATGGGTCCCTGATCAAAAAAAATGTTAGTGAACTGGGCTATAAAAGTTTTTTTCTTGTCTTTCTGGGCTTTGCCTTCCGCCCTGAGTCACATCTGTCAGGATTTTCTAATCCTAGAGTTTCACTGTCTTCTCAGATTTTCTATCAGAAGCTAATGTAGGAGATAGCGGTAGGAGACTATGTTCATGTTCAGCCTGCATGAAACACTCAGTGACACATTAGAATCAGAAATAATCATTACATGTATTGTTTTCAGTGAGGTTGACCTATATATTGGCCTACAACAGGTTTGTTAGATTTCCTAAATGAGCCCCCCCCCCCCCCCCCCCCCCCCAAATTAAACTCGTTCCTACGCCCTTGCTGCCTGAGGAGGAACACACACACGCTAATGGTTTCTGTAAATGTTTTAATGCATTCATTCAGTCATCTCCTCCTGCAGGAATCAGTCCATGTCTGACTTGAGGATTCAGGTCATTTTTTTTTTTTTTTCCATAATGTGTGTGTTGTATGTTCACAGTCTGGTACCGGTCCCACAACGATTTGAAGATGGTGTTCTGGACTCTGTTTTGTTTTCCATGGGCCGGACGATGACCCAGGAGGAAGTTCGTCAGCTAATGCAGAGGACTGTGCAGCAGGTCTGGCGCAGGTCTTTTTGTGTGTGACTCTGTTAAAGCTTGTGCCGCTGGCTGAAGCAGCTTTTTGCTGCACTCCTTAAAATAAGCCACCGTCTGGTGAACGAGAACCTCCCGTTTAAACTAGCATCCCTAACGCTTCTGGTGTCCAGATCAATAAGAAAGCAGGCAGCAGAGATCACGGAAAAAATGTCAGTGGCACGGTCCACATTCAGAAGTTTGTAGTTTTCATGAAATCTCTTTAATCATGATTGCACGTTTAGAGGAGAAGCAGGTCTGTGAACATGTCTGGCATTTTACATTTTTTGTTGGACAGTATTAAACCAAGTCCATGCAAACGCGTGTTCCTATTGTTATTTATAGAAGATTATGTTATGGTTGTATGGGCCCGGCCCCGCCCCCGCCCGCTTGGCTGAATGTGTTCAGAACATCAGGTCATTTGGATTCAGGAACATTCAGATGAATCCCTGCTGTAAAGGGTTAATTTACATCGTCATCGTCTTCCTCCGCTTATCCGGGTCCAGGTCGCGGGGGCAGCATCCCAACTAGGGAGCTCCAGACCGTCCTCTCCCCGGCCTTGTCCACCAGCTCCTCCGGCAGGACCCCAAGGCGTTCCTGGACCAGATTGGAGATGTAACCTCTCCAACGTGTCCTGGGTCGATCCGGGGGCCTCCTGCCGGCAGGACATGCCCGAAACACCTCCCCAAGGAGGCGTCCAGGAGGCATCCTGACCAGATGCCCAAACCACCTCAACTGGCTCCTTTCGATCCGGAGGAGCAGCGGTTCTACTCAGCACCCCTCCCGAATGTCTAAGCTCCTCACCCTATCTCTAAGGCTGAGCCCCGCTTTGGGTTAATTTACATGTTATTTAATGACCATGAGACATGAGATTCCACAGGAACTATGGAATCAATCTGATGGACCTTTGGGTACTTTTAACCAGAAGATTGGAACTTTTTATTGCAGGGATTATGTAACACTTCGTATTGACTGAGAGACAACAGAAGAGAGAGTCAAGTTTTAAAAGTTTAAAGATTTATTACCAAATAAATTAAAACTAAACTAACTTTAACACTAAATGTATGGTGTCCCTAAGGTGAATGAGACGGAGAATGGTGTAGTGTGGAATGTTGCTCAGAACCAGCAAATCCGAAGAAACGATTAGTTCTGATGGGAGTGAAGGTGATGTCTTCACGCTAAGCTTTGGTTAGGAGATTCATAAACACATTAGACGCCATTCTGTCGGTCTACGTACCCTTGTGGAAGTCCCCGTCTAGATCAGGAGGTGTAGAGGTCCAGCTTGACCTTTGTGGAGCTGAAGCCTGTAGAAACAGCCGCGGCAGCTGACCAGTCCAGTCTTGAGATACTTGCGGGTCACGACAGTTTATCGGCATCTAACAAGACCCAAAACGGGGTCGTGATGGTTCAGCTGTTATTCTGAAAGGACCCGTTGCAGCGGTTGTTACAGCAACAGGTTTTCCAGCTTGTCGTTGGTTCTTTCGGCTGAAGAGGCGAGTTACGGATTGGCCACTACGCCAACTTCTCTAGAACGCTTTGAACTGGCGTTAAAGATGACGTGGGCATAGTTTTATACTTCGGATGTTTTGGTTTATGGTCGAATGAAAAGATGACAGATTTACCAAAACCACGCCTCCGTCAGATCTGGCAGATTCTGATTGGATCAGTAAAAGCAATGTGTCGTCTCTTAATGCTACGTGAGATCAGTCCTAGTGGAAACATTTAAAGTCATATTACTTATTATATTCTATAGGATTATAATAAAGTAATTAATATTCTGATTTCACAAATTGGTTCACATTTTATTATTGACTTACACTTTGTTTGATTAGCTTATTAAAAATAGAGTTCTTTGATTTATTAAAAAGAGTCCTTTCTTCATTCTTCTCTTGAGCTGGAAAGGAAAACAGTTTAGAGCAAATGCATGAGACCTTGAGGCAATATCTCATGCAGACTAGTTCTTGCTGAGGAGAGGGGCAAAATGACTTTTAGGTGGAAAACCGTCATTTCATTCCGTTACACTGCTATCTCCTAGAAGATCATGTGAACAGCGCCTGTTACCACAGCAACACTCTTTCTCTACCTCTGTCAGATTTCTGAAACTCTGAGTCTGGATTTGGACCGGGCCGAGCACCTCCTGATTCACTGTAAGTGGAATGTGGACCTGCTGGTGCATCGCTTCACAGACGACTCCGATGCGCTCATCATGGCCGCTGGGCTGAAGTCTAAAAACCCCCAGCCGCCACCAAGCCCCACCTCTACCTGCCCGGTTTGCCTGAGCCCTCAGGAGGGTGATGCCGATCCAGCATTGACCCTGAGCTGCATGCACTACTGCTGCCGGGTCAGAACCCGTCTGTGACAATTTTTTCTGCTCTCTGTGATTGTGTAGCTGTGATAGTTTGTATTTGTCATGCAGTCCTGCTGGCAGGAGTACCTGACGGCCCGGATTGAACAGAATCTGGTCATGAACTGCAATTGTCCAATAACAGACTGCCAGGCTCAGCCCACATCCCAGTTCTTCCTTAGTATCCTCACTGACAAGGACACCATCGCCAAGGTAAGGCCATCACCCGGCTTAGTTACAGAGCATCAGCTGAGTGGGTAGATTAGCATCATGGGTTGGCATAGACGGCTATGCATTAGGATGGATTAAATCATACCTGACTGAGAGATCTGTCTGTGTCCCCATTGGTAACTACTCATCTTCCTCTTCCATGGGGTGTTCCACAGGGATCAATCCTTATGCCACTATTATTCACCATATACATGTTACCCCTTGGCTCTATCTTTGCAAAACACTCCCTACATTATCATCTGTACAACGATGATTGTCAGGTTTACCTCTCGCTGGATCAACCTGGGTCCTTTAGCTCTCTGAATGATTACCTTTCAGAGATCAGAGCATGGCTATCCTTCAATTTCCTCATTTGAAATGAGGATGAGACAGGCTATCGGCCCTCCTCTTCCTTTAAATGTTAGCCCCACGGTGATCAGTCTAGGTCAGGGGTCGGCAACCCATGGCTCTGGAGCCTCATGCGGTTCTTTGCTTGTAAGATAATTAATGAATATTTAATTAAAATAGTTTTTATTTTACTGCATTCAGTTTTATCTGTATGCCAATTCTAAATGTAAAGATTGTCTGTAAACCTGACCAGGTGTACAGGTCACCTGCTTGTGTGTAATCAGATGTCTCTATAGGAGCTTTCTGAGCTGAAGAGGATGTGGGGTTCTGGACTTTTTCTCAGACAGGACACATGGATGCATCGCCACATTGGAGACAGGAACAAGCGCTATTCAGCCACAGGTTCATCATTAGGAACATTTTCCAAGTGACAAGTCTCTCTGAGAGACAGGGTTTGGACAATGGAGCTTCAGTGGGAGGAACCTTCTTGCATGGCTCTGGTTCTGCAGCTGCCAGTGACCAACGCTCTCCAAGCCCCCGATCTCCACATCTTCAGCTCGCTGTCCGCCTTGCATGCAGACAGCGAGCTGCGATGAGCTGTGTCCAGCTCAGATGTTCTGATGGGAATCTTATCTTGATTGCCTTAACTACCTCCACGATGTGCGAAACGATAAAAATGTCAGCGCATCTGCAGGCTTGAGGTTTTTCTGTCAAAATAAACTATCAAATACAGGAAATATCCAGTCAGTACAAACCCTGTCATGTAACTGTTTTACCTTCTTGTGAAGATTGTTGAAAACAGGAAAATTAAACGTGATTAACACCAGAGCCATGCACGCTGCACCGTTATCTCCTTCACTGTAAATGAGGGAAAAAATGCATTGATGGAAAGAAAAATTGTCCCATCACCCCATCTCTAGCTGAGCTGTGCTGGCTCCCAGTGACTTACAGGGTGGAGTTCTAAATTCTTCTTTTTACTTACAGAATCGTACATAACATGGTGTAACCGGATTACAGGATACAATAAGATAATTAAAAGAAAAAATAAACAAATGGGCCAATAATTAGGTTCGGGGAGAATTGGAGGTTGTTTAAGAATGACTGGAGTCACGGGTATAGCATGAAACGGTTTATATACTAAATTTTAATAATAATGGGAAATATAACACATAAAGATAACACACAAAAACAGATGAAAACAATCGACAATAGTAAAATGGTCGGTATGAGATTTGATCATATGAGTCACAAGTCAGCCGGCGTCAAGTCAAATCCCCACGCTTGGGGTGAAAGTCAGAGTCCGGTGGTGCGATTTTTTCCTACCACACCGTTGAGATTGTTCACAGAAGAGAGCAGTCTGCTCTTCAGTTACTTGAGATGTCCTGGTTCGTTCAGTGGTTAAGGCTCGCCATCTCCCTCGTCAGGAAGAAATCCAGTTCTCGTTCCAAGTGAGTGATCATAGGAGTCGGGATCAAACCCAAGGAAAAAAAAAAACCCAGCCTGTAAACAACAGGACTGTTAGCGAGTTGGCATCGACCCTTCTCGTCACATCACAGCATAAAGTCTTACAGACTTAAACAAATGCTTCACTCTATTGGCATAGCCAATCATGTTTGGGTTCACAGTTCAACTAACATAACATCAATTTGATTGTCTATTAAAATAATTCTCAGTAGCTCTGGAAATATAATTACATATGACAACAATTGTTCAGCTCAATAGGCTCAGTTAGATTCTATTACTCTACACTATTCGACAAGAAATACATTCATGACAACAAGGATACATTTAGTTGTGTTTCTATACAGCATTGTGACACCTTGTATATTTGTAACACAATAAATAAATAAATAAATAAACAAACAAATAAATAAATAAATAAATAAAATTTTCTATAACAAAATTAAACAAAATATAAATTCTGGTCCTTTGGTCCACCTTTGTAAAATAATTCCTCCCTAATCAGTTAGCTTTTATTTATTTTTATTTATCTATTTTTTTTTATTATTAAATGTTTGGTTAAGGTGGTTAAGGGACGCATTGCTAATTCTATGGCGTTAGCTATAACGCCCCTGAGGACCTTGTACATCTAGGCCGTACCACCGTTAACTGGCGGTTTGAGCCGTTAACTCCTGGGAATCCTATATGCCGTACCGCCGTTAACTGGCGGTTTGAGCCGTTAACTCCTATATGCCCTACCACCGTTAACTGGTAGTTTGAGATGTTAACTCCTGGGATCTAACGTCTAGCAGCCCACTGCTGTCACCTCGGTTGCTGTAATTAGCTTTTTGAATTTAATAATTTACTGAATTTAATCTCATTCACTCACCAACGCGCTCCAACGGTTCCCTCCTACAGAGGATTGGTTCACTCTGTCGTCTCCACACAAATCTATAAGAATGGAATTAATTTGATAAGCTATTTAAGTTTCCTTTTTTTTTTAAGTTGCATCGTTAGCTTTTTCTCTTCTTTTTTCTTTACTCACCGCGTTGGTTCCAAGTTCCTAGCTCTTATTAGAAGGAGTCAAGTCCGCCTCTCCCTCTATCTATGCGGCACCCAAATCAGGGTTCTTCACGGCCTCGACCGTTGTTTTTTTTTCTCTCTCTCTCTCTCTCTCTAACCGCTCAGTCTTTGCTTTCTGTATCTGCGTGCTGCACAGCCGTTTGTCTCTCCTCTCGCTCAGCTGCGTCGCACGGTTTTATTTCGCGGAGGCGGGACTTATTTCTCTCAGCCAATGAAATTTCAGATTCCCACCTGGACCAATAGTATACAGCTTTCCTCTTCTGTTTCTGTTAGTGATGTTCAAGATTCTTGTTTTAACCGATGTTTAATATTAAACTCGTTATTTTAGTTATTCACCCTTCCAATAATTCATTATGAAATTATCTATTAGTTAATTAGATATCTATTAATTAGTATTGTTAATTTCCTTAATTTATATTTTATATTTTATCTAAATTGAGGATGGATCATATTAGTAAGCCAATCAGTTAATACCTCATTAAGGTTCTAGCTTCTGGGTTACATCCTCCCCCATTAAATATCATGCACGTCCCTGTGCATTGTTTCTACGGGGTACACAACTTCTTGAGTAAGAGAGTCAATAAAAGCTTTATTAAGTCCTTGGAAAAGGGACCTAACTACGGTCACTAGTGGATTGCCCAATTGAGAGTAAGTTAGTCTTTGAGGAGGCTGACTACTTCGTTCAGATCTCCTGACATACATCTCTGGTTGCACAGTATCATGCTCATCCGTTTCGGTTTGATTCTCAACTGAGACAGGACGAAGTGAGCTCTCTGTTTCCGACAGAGCTGATGAGCTATTCTCTAAGACTTTGGTCTTTTCAGATGTATGTGTCTGATCGTGTATGATGGGTTCAAAACTTACATCACGTTGCTGCGACTTTAGGACACCATCCAATTGAGGTAGGTTTGTGTTAGTTTCATCCCCCGTTTCTACGTCAGGTAAGTATACTTCGTTTTTTTTCGTTTTTTCAGGTAAGTATGTTGCTGCTTCTTTCACTCTTTCAGGTAAGAATGTTTCGGTGTTGATGCCTTTGTCAAGTAAGGACAATTCAGCATTTTCATTACCAGCTAAGGTTGGTTCCTTGCGATCCCCTGTGTGTAAGGATAGTGTGTTTTGTTGTTGAATATTATTTACCGGTCCTGAATCTGCTATGAGTTCCCTATTTGGCAAGGTGACCGCTATTTGATAGGATGGTCGGTTTAGCACTTGTGGAAGATCAGAGTAATAAAACTCATCTACCTCTTCGTCAAGTGGCTCATCTGGGTCAGGTTCTAAGGCTGAACTCTGTCTTGTATGAGGTCTGCTAGGTTTCGTAACGCGTTCTGTTTCATTTTCTAATGAAGAGAGAAAACCACAAGGCAGTAAAAGATCTCTGTGGAGTGTTCTGTTGGGTCCTTCTCCGTTCTCTGGTTTTACAGTGTATACTGGCAAGTTTTCCATCTGTTTGAGAACTATACACTGTTTGCTCCCATTTGTCTGCTAATTTATGCTTTTCTCTTAAGCGAAGATTTCGGACTAAAACACGATCTCCCACACCTAGTGTGGACTCACGAATGTTTCTGTCGAACCGTTCTTTGTTCTTCCTCGCTGTTTTTTGAGAGTTTTTTATGACAATGTCATAACTCTGTTCCAGATGACTCTTCAGTTCTTTAACATACTGAGAATGAGTTATAGAGGGCTTGTTCAAATGCGGTAACCCAAAGGCAATATCTATAGGCAACCGAGGCTGCCTACCGAACATTAGCTCGTAGGGAGAGTATCCCGTCACGTCATTTTTTGTACAATTGTACGAGTGAGTAAGTGGTTTTACAAAATCGCGCCAGTGATGTTTCTCAGTGGCTTGTAAAGTTCCCAACATGCTGAGTAATGTACGATTGTACCGTTCAACGGGGTTGCCACGAGGGTGATAAGGGCTCGTTCTGACTTTACGGATACCAAGTAAAGAACAAAGTTCCTTGATTGTACGTGATTCGAAATCCCGTCCCTGATCACTATGAAGACGCTCAGGAAACCCGTAGTGGACTAAAAAATGTTCCCACAGGTTCTTCGCGACGGTGGTGGCTTTCTGATCTTTGGTTGGGATGGACACTGCATACTTTGTAAAATGGTCTGTAATCACTAAGACATCT